TGATACTTTATTCATTAGTTTTAGTCTCACAATACTAATTAGAGCAATCTAATAAACACTACTACTACTACTACAAGTACACGTTATTTCGTGCAGTGTTGTTGTTGCTTTTGTTGCTGCTGCTGTTTTCTTCATCTCGTAAATGGATCCCTGCAAATTCAATGTGATGAAGATACCCTCAACATGGCTGGTCTATTGAATGCCTTGGCACTGCTGCTGGTCCTTTTGTTCTTTTTGGTGTTTTGCTGTAGTAGTAGCTTTTGTTAGAACAATCTCGTAAACCAATCTGTGGATTGATCTGCAATTTCTTGATCCCCTTTCCCTTATTATAATGAATGGAATGCAGTGCTTGTTTGGTTCAGAGGAGGGAGCAATATGCTTGTTTTGCTGGTTACTACACCACTGGTGCTACAGCTTCTTTTGCTTGTTGTTATGAGTTTTCGACATTTTTGATGCTGGTTGAATACAGCTAAAATCTTCCAAAGGATATAATAAATACACTTTGAATGCAGATTGCATGGGTCATGGAGGTTATGGGTCTTTCCAAAGGGTGTAACAGGTTGGATGAACAATGGTGGTGAGGTTGATCAACACCAAATGAGTTTTGTTTGCATTTTTCGTGCGCAGAGGAGTAGTAATCAACAACTAGCCAGAAAAGGTTCTCATCAAAATTCACATAGCAATATGCACATGTTTGTGAAGAAGAAAGAAAACCCTTTCTGACTTTGCAACCAATTCTCTTGCTTTGATTTGTCCTTTACTAACATCAGCAAGCAAGCAAAGCTTGCTGCTCATTAGTACTATAATTTATGACTCATAACTAGTTACTAGAAAATCAACGGGATCACAGACATCTAGAAGTACCAGTACTTCGTAACATTTATTCCTGAAATCGTCATTTTTCATGACCGTTTCGTATCGTACTAAACGCATCTGCGGTGTTTACCGGTAATGTGCCGTGCTAACGGTTCGTAAAATGCGAGAAAAACGCCTCTGAATTCCAACGACGAAGACGAAGGGAGCTATCACAAATCAATTCTCTCCTGCTAATTTACTTCCTGCACCGCTAGACAAGTTTCGTTCGCAGTTGCAAGTCCAATCAGAGCTCCGGACCGGACGTGACCTGACCTCTGCTACTAGTAACCTTCGATCGCAACGCATTACACAGCACCCCGCCACAGCACCAAACTGCACCACCTGAAGCCAATTTACTCGAACTACCGAAACAAAAATGGCGGCCGGAGCTCTGGGTTCCAGAGCCTCGAGGCCAATCAATAATGGAATAAGAAATGGCAACAACACTTTCGGTTTGAATAAAAAGAAGAATATGCGTCAACAGAACACTAAAAACAACAAGAAGGCCAGCTACATCTCTCGGGCAATTTTTGCTTTGGTCCTGCTGATGGTGATCATTGAATACGTCGCCTACACCTCGCTCACTCTTCCGATAAGTGAACCGCCCAAAGAGAGTGAGGGCAGGTATTTTGAAAGCCGACAGAAGGGTAAGGCACTGACCTTGAGAGAGAGGATGCGAAAAAAGCGGGTAGAAGAGAAGCTACGGACTAGAGAAAGACGACATAAAGAAAAGCAGAAAATATTAGAAACGTATCGGAATACAAGTCCTGATCCCGCTAAGGTCCAAAAATATGACGCCAAATACAAAAATATTCACACTAGTACCCAAACTGATGTCACGAATAACCTCTCCCCTGAGGAATTCCACGACCAACGCATCAAAACGGTTGAGCACCTTCTGCACATGGGCGTCGAAGAGGATTACGACCTTGAAGAACTCCCTCCGTGGTCATTAATACTGGACAATTTCCACCCGCAAACCAAGGACGATGAGCCAATCATTCTTGGGCTGGAATACTGCGAGGACTTTCGAAAGATGCACTCTCCCAAAATCATTGGTGTCGGACCAGCAGGGCTTTTCAGCACGGGGACCAACCTGATTGCCAATCTCATGACTTTCAACTGCGATGGCCCGCTCAAACGTCGGGGAAACCGGAAAAAATTTAGCCTCGTCCAGGTTCCCTGGGGTAAGCACAATCCAGCTGACGCCCGCTTTCACCACCAGGTACCGATGCCCGTCGTAGAGGACCGGGAGGCCATACTTCCTGTCGTCGCCATTCGCCATCCCTACACATGGATGTCGGCTATGTGCAAACACTCGTACAACACCAGGTGGAGGCACGTACACAAAAAGTGCCACAGGGGTCTGGGTCTAGAGAATCCTGTCTGGAAGGTCCCGTATGGCTTTAAATCCTACAACGAGACGCACAATGTGACAAATTCGTACAACTCACTGGCGCACATGTGGATGGAGTGGTACAAGCCGTATTTCCTCGACGAGAAATACAACCAAACCCCACGGCTCATGGTCCGCCACGAGGATATGGTCTACCGGCCAGAAAAAGTCGTATCTAGGATTTGCGAGTGCGTTGGGGGGGTCAACTCGAATCCCATCAAAGACTGGGAAGACCCTGACGGCTTTCAGTACCTAGAAGAAGGCGCAAACACGGGCGGGGGCCATGGCATCCACCGCTCCGGTTTGCTTACGGCCATTCTCAAATACGGTCAGCCGCTCCGGAATTGGTACGACCAGTACACTGCCACCGACCGCGAGATTATGAAGGAGGCCTTTCAGGGGGAAGTCGATCCCGAACTCAGAAACATCTTTGATACCTTTCAATACAAGCTCTACGACGACGTGGCTGGTCCGACCCCCCATGATATAATACAGGTCGAGCGTCGCAAGGCCATGGAAGAGGAAAAAGATGAGCAGGTCCTGGCGGAAGCAAAAGCGGTGGCGAAAAGAAACGGCGATCTGACCGCGTCCCAGGTGGAGCGACTCAAAGCGCACAACATGAAGCAGCAGCGAAAGAATGCCAAAAAGGGAAACCGTGGCAATCCAATGCATGACCATCGAAAGTATAAGGCAGCGCAATAGATGGAACTCAATACAACTACTAAACACAAAAGGATGTGTGATAGTGCGTATGTACCATAGTTTTGCGGTGTGGATATTCATAATATCAAAGAAAGATGGGGAAAGATGCGAAAATTATTGAATAGTTTTACATCTGAAAATATACAGGTGGATGCGCGATGTACTGACTCTTCCAAATAGTATCAACAGCATTCTTTCTTTTCCACAAGCAACCCATAATAATATAATTTTAGCGAGACGTAAACAAAAGGGAGACGAAGAAATCTCACATCGCTAAATTTACTACCGTCACAAACAATGCAACATATTGGCTAGAAAAAGGTAACATTCCGTGTTCCACATTGGTGGAAGACGAAAAGGACTTCGTGCTTCTCTAAAGCTCTCTATTGCCGCGACGATGAAGTTGGGCTTACAACCATTCGTCCGAAGGCCACGAGTTTGATCAATTCCAGGGCCATCTACAAAAAGTGGCACTAGTAGTGCCAGGTACCGGGTGCGAACGGTGCTTTGAAATTTGATGCCCGCCTCCAAAACGTCGAATTCGTTCTGTCTGCTTCTATTGCTAGGAGTGTTCGTTTCTTGATTTGGATGTTCTGAACGGACATCAAATATTTTGACAACTGTGACAACAGTTACCTTACCATCAAACTTACGAATTTTAAGGGACTTTTTTGCACTCTATGAAGTATTGAATGGCTTTTTGAATTCGTTTTAGACTGTGTTGCGGTACGCAGGTCTTTCGCGATGGTGCAGTGGTTGCAGCAACACGTATCTTCTGTGAGCGCAAGATCGTAACAGTTTCTGCTCTGCTTGATGTTTTGATTTTGACCTGCGAGTATGAACTCACCTGTTTTCTGGCTACAGGGGCAATAGTATTGTTGTTTCCTGAGGTTTGGAAAAATTGGAATGAGTGCGAAAAAGAAGCGCGCTACTCCACCCACATTTTTTATTTTTCGGCCAGTACACGTACAAGTGCCTGGTACAAGTTGCGATTCTGAAAATGAGGACCCTACCGTAGTGAAGATGTGAAAGCAGCTTTCCCAGCATTGTTTGACGAAGACACATAAAATAATAGAAAAAGTAAGCAACAGCCGAAGCAAAGATTAGAACACAAATGTCAGCAAGACTCTTCTAGCGAAAGAACGACGTGATGGAATCTTCCAACGACGAAGTGACGAAAGCAGGTGCAGATAAAAATACAGCTGGGTCAGCAACAACAGATCGACGCCAGCAGTTGTCACAGACCAAAATCCCTCCGAAACGACGACCAAAGATTGCGGTCCTCCCTCGAGCTGTGGTGGATCAGATCGCCGCGGGAGAGGTCGTCCAGCGCCCCGTCTCGGTAATCAAGGAACTATTGGAAAACTCGCTCGATGCCGGGGCTACCCAAATTGTGATTCAGTACGACGGGCTCTCGAAGTTTTCCATTGCCGACAACGGGCGCGGAATCCCCAGTGCCGATCTGAACCTCTTGTGCACTAGACACGCCACCAGCAAGCTTGCCTCCGTAGATGACTTCTCCGACCTTTCGACCTTTGGGTTTCGGGGGGAGGCCCTGGCGTCCACCAGCATGGTCAGCCGGCTCCTGACGGTAGTGACGCGCCTCAGGGTCGGGGAGTACGACGACGACGACGAGAGTGCCTCGGTGGTTGCTTACGCTCAATCCTACCAGCACGGAAAGCCCCTCCAACTCAAACCAAAGCCGTGCGCTCGAAAAGTGGGAACCACCATAACGGTGAACGACCTTTTCTACAACGTCCATCATCGGCAAAAGGCCTTTTCGAATTCCAAGCGAGAGGCGGAAGAATACGGACGCATCCACAAGCTAATCCAGGACTACGCGGTTCACTATCCGACCGTCGGGTTCGTTTGTCAGCGACAGATGGCCACCAGAGCGAAAGCAAAAGCCAACAAGCAGCTCGTTGTAGACTGCAACACGGGGCAGATCCCGGCCGTCAGGGCCTTGCTACAGAGCCGTGCCTCGGCGGCAAAACTGGCGGCCGCACAAAAAACCAACAAAGACAATTCTGGTCAGAAGGCAAAGGTCGTCGAAGCCACCAAACAAATCTTGACACACGTCCTAGGATCGAATCTCGCGAATCATTTATTGTATATGGAATGCAGCAGCTCGGACAACGACAAGGTTCCCACTGAAAACGACTGTGGAAATGGGAGTGGCAATACCAAAGAAAACGCCGACAGATACAAATTCCGCTACGCTGCCGAAATCTACTTTACGACTCCAACCTACAATAGTGTCGGAGGTGGTGGCAGCGCCAGGAAGGGAAATAGCAGCAAACAACAAAACACCAAGACGACTCAGGGGAAATTCGTTTTGTTTCTGAACCACCGCCTCGTCGACCTTCCACCCCTCAAGCGGGCTCTGGAGGACATTTATGCCGATCTGGGCAATCCCAATCGCAGCAAATCCAGCACCAACAACAGCAACGTTGGGAAACCCGTCTTGGTGGTCAACCTGAGCATTCCAGGATGCCAGGTCGACGTAAACGTTCATCCGTCCAAGCGACAGGTGGCCTTGATGTACCAGGAAGATGTGATCAGGGATCTAGCTGTGAACGTAAAGGAACGCCTCGAAGACCACGGGCAGGCCTTTTTGGCTCAATCGGTGGCCACGCCCGCCGCCAAAAAAGCGAATGTTCGTAATCCATACGCCAAAACTCCAAGCAGCCAGAAGCGAAAACGATCGTCCCCCAACAAAGAATCATCAGAGGAGGCGGTCGACATTGACGATAAAGAGGAGATTGAAACCATGAGCCACTGCGAGAACGACATCGCCGAGGAAAAGAAACGTTCCAAAAGAGACGAAAACTTCGATTCTCCTCCTCCACATGAGAATGCTCGAGGGAAGATCGATGGGAAGAAGCGGAATCCTCGTAGCGGCAGCAGCGAAAAGAAAATAGCACCGTCCAAGCTTGTTCGAACGAACTTGGCTGCCAGGGCAGGAGCTATAGAGCCATTTCTGGTCTCCACACAAGGCGCGTCGCAACTATCTCAATCACAGTCGACCCAAGATAACAATGATGAAAACGATAATCCTTCGTCATCTCAACGACCACTATCCCAACCAGAGCAATCGTCTATGGTCCACATTCCTCCTTGCCCCCTTGCGAATCCACTGACCTTGAAAGACATTGATATAACGCAACCAGGAGCCTTTGCTTTAATACTGAAGCAAGAAAAATGCACCTGTCCGACCGATGTGATTGACATGAGCCGACGTACCGTGTTCGTACCAAACACGGTGGTCCGGCCTAAGCGCGTCGTTCCGACCCCCTCCAAGTACACATCGATCGCATCCCTCCGCAAGCGCGTGGGCAAACAGCAATGCCACGAAACGACAAAACGGATACGGACGGCCTTTTTCATGGGCGTCCTGTCGCACCAGCGGTCGCTGGTCCAGTGTGGCGAAGAAATGGTGATGATCAACCACTTTGAGCTCGCGAAGGAGCTCTTCTACCAGCTAGCGCTCGCGAGATTCAATGGTGGCGCCAAACTAGCTCGACTGGGGGGCGGTGGCATATGCGTACAGACCGTGGTAGCACAGGCTTTGCAACACGAAGACGAACTGACACTAGCTAGTAGCACCAAAGCCACAAGTAAAACAAGCGTTAACAATGGTGCGAGTTGCAGCGACATGCTGCAGGTTAACGACTCGAATCAGAACCTAGCAGAACACATCGCGGCACGCCTGGTAGAGAGTTCTGCGATGCTTGAAGAGTACTTTTCAATACGCATCGAGCTCCAACCGTCTATCGGCGGAAACGACATGAAAAGTGATGATAACAAAGATGGAAAGAGCGATCCTTGCGACTATGACCATCGCCATGAAAATGCTGGCAACGCAATTTTAACCGGTCTCCCAGTATTGCTGGACGGTCACTCTCCACAACCTCGTAAGTGCTTTCGAAATGAAACAACTTTGTTCGAACGTTATTATATTGTGTCGTCTTCGCTAAAACTTCCTCCCGCCTACACCAGACGCATTGCCCATTTTTTTGCTTCGACTTGCAACCCAGGTCGACTGGACCAGAGAAAAGCACTGTTTCCACGGAGTTTGTAAAGAAATCGGAAATTTTTATGCTATGTTGCCTAGTGAATGGGGCGACCTAAACCCCTACGTCCAGCACACAATCTTTCCTGCACTTTCGTACTTGTTGTTGCCATCAAAGAATCAAGCAAGCAATGGCTATTTCACGGCTATGACCAAACTGTCCACCCTGTACAAGGTGTTCGAGCGATAAGTAACTTTTCCTACCTCCGTCCCACCCCCTTTTTGGCAAAACATTGGAATACCACTCTCTGAACCCGTGCAATGCAGTGAAAATCCTACACAAAATAAGATTAAAATGTAGGAAACAGTAAAAGATTTTTTTCATGTTTCTTCCCGCATCATTTCCAAGAACATATTAACCATCTCCAACCACAAAGTCAAATCATGGCATTTACCATGATGGATGATTGGTGGTGACAAGAACATATCTGAAACTACGACTTGCACACCTTGAGCTAATTGCAGGAGTCTCCAAAAATGATACTAGTGGCAGTGTTTCCAGTAGTGACATTAATGGTTCTTTTGGCATTGTGTATCATTCATCCTACTCTAATTTTTCCTTTACTAATAACATTCAAGAACTCCTTCGCCAAGACCTGACTCATCTGATCTCAAGCAAGAGAGAAGGATGGAACCATATATATCACCAAAGCCCCTCGTTGGAACTACATGCATCATATTGTTGGATGCAGTTTTGTTGTTTTTACCAAAGAATCCACTCCACAACCTCAGGGCTCTAATGGTGAAGATCATGAATGTCTTTGTCTTGAATGGTATACTAAATATTGATCAATCTGTTCATAGATCTATCATTGTTTACAAAAATGAGGAGCTGTCAATTTTTTCCAGTACAGTGTGAACTTCTTGCTACTTGCTGATAGCATTAGTGTACTCATACAATCCTTTTAAATAATTGGCACCATTGCTGTGTGTTGTGAGTTTCCAACACTAGTAGTAGTATGGAATGAAAACAGGGTTTCAGCCTCATCTGTGTGGGAAGTATTGCATTGTTGAACAAAGGTATTGAAATGGATCAGGAAGATCAATATCACAAATATCCTAACCCAAACAACAACAAGTGGATGATGGTTTCTAACAAGACTTTATAAAATGAAAAAGCACCCTTGTGTCTGTTGGATGACTTGTTTCTTCACTGTGAACAAAAAGAATCAGAGCATAGCTGTTGTTGTGAAAGTATGAATACTAAGAAGGAGTGGTGAAGAGCAACTAGTAGTCCTCTATTGTTTACTACTATTTACAAGAAGAAGCAAACAAAAAGGGAATTAACCACCAGCATAACTCAACCATCACCAGCAATGCTGAGCAAAATTTTGAGGGGGGAAGAAACAACAGGGATTGTTGGTATGAAAGTGTCAAGGAATCATAATACAATTTGCAGTGTTCCTATTTGAAAAGTAGAAGAAATTGATTGTTGCTGGAGTAACATCCTGTTGACTTTAATCCACTGATTTAATGCATGATTCGTTCAATTGAAGAATAACTTCTTCTTGTTTCTTTTATTTTCTCCTTCCAACAACAATATTCTTGTTCTTCTTGCTGTTTCATAGAAGGGAGTAAGTTTTTCTTATTTTGCTGTGCTCCAATTGCTGCTACAAGGTGGTAGTGCAACTACTGTTGCTGCTGCTGATGGTCCTGTTGGGTAAGGCTCCGCCTCCTGGTGGTCAGGGTGGTAATGGTGGCAAGAACAACACAACACCACCAGGAGCCAAGAAGAAGAAGAACAGCAGCAGCAAGAATTTGGTGCGTTTACCGGTAGTACTAGTAGCAAAACCAAATATGTTGGTGGGGAAGAGGTACTAAAAGCTAGTGTCCTAAATGCAATTTCATATTAGGGGCTACTACTTTATAATCGCCAGCCAAAATAACAAAGGGCGTTTGTCACTTGCAAAACTCACGAACAAAAGCTCCTGAGGGCTGTTGTGCAAAATATTCCGTCACGGGGAATCGAACCCCGGTCTCCCGCGTGACAGGCGGGGATACTAGCCACTATACTATGACGGATTTTCTGCTCTTGCTGTACCGGACCAATGATTGAAGTATACTGTCTTGTCTTGTATTCCGTAAATCTGCAAATGTTAAATTAAATCTGTCTCACCGTTTGAGCAATGAGTCAACGAGTACGAAACTGTTACCTCGATCACTGTTCCGAAAGTGTTCGAAGGTGAATCGTTGTCGGGTTTGAACAGCTAGGCTTGGACGACACAACCGTACGAAAGAAGCTTGTGCGCACACTGCGAATGTTTCTGCTGACACGATGTCTCGACGGAGGCTTGTCGAGATCCCCTTTCTAGTGTGTGGCGAGGCGGCGGCAAAACGGACCATTGGGTCGGCGCGATCGATCGCGTTCGATCCCTGTTTCCGTTTCTTCCGCCGAACCACGGAACGGGTTGGCGTGAACCGGAATGGGAACACGATTGGGACTGCAATCGGTTCGGCGGCGCGCTTTTCCACCGGGAGCGGGGGATCCTCGTACTCGGCCAGCGGACCCAGCCAGCAGCTGAAATCCTGGGAGAGTGGCGCGAGGATGGTCCAGAACACCACGGTCGAGAACAAATACCTGGAACACATCCGGGAGGTCCACGACCCGTCGCAGCACATCAAAACGATCGAGGACGAGCTCAAGGGAAGCATCGGAAAGGCCCTGGGCAAGCAGGGCCAGAAGGTGCTGATGTACGCCCGCCTCATGGAGGAGGAACGACAGCGGTACCAGGACCTGCTGCTGGAACTCCGGGGGCAAGCCCGAGAAGCAGAACCACACACGCCATCGCCGGCGGTCGAACGGACCGACGACGTCGATCGCCATCCGGAACTCTCGAAGATCGCGATTTCCCACAACGAGTACCGCGAGCAGTGCCTCCACGCCCGGTGGGAGCTCATCGTTCACCGCCAGGCGGTTGGATTCATCGTCGGGAACCACAAGTACGTCACGGACAAGTTTCCCGTGGGGGACGCGCTCCCGGTACCATCCGAAGACGGAGAGGACGAGCGAGCAACCGCCGCTGCCAGCGCAGAAAAGAGCAAGAAGAAAAAGGTGTTTACGGACCAGCTGGACTGGTGGCAGCGGATAGGGAGATAGAAGTAGTGTTGCACAATTATTCTATTGCTATTCGGCATGGTACTTCCAATGTGTAGTGATGCATTCTGCTTCGTGCGAGGAGCACCTAGATAACGTTTTTCCGATCGAAACGGGTGCATCAAGCGGGCAAAATGTTGCAAAAAATGTATACTATTGGTTTTACTGTTAGGATGTTATGCAGCGACGATCTTCGGATCGTCAAATCATAAATGTGCGGGGTGCCCCGAGCATCTCCCCCTTTGCAGTCGGATGCKGTGTCTGGTGTAGCGCTGTGCCGAACCGCATTGCGTCGCGTCGCCTTGCGTCGCTTGGCCGGTCCTTGTCTTGTCTTGTTTGCTTCGCTTCGCTTCCGGTGCGGCCACCCTTCGCGCTCAAAAGGTTCCGCCGGACAAAAAGGTCTTGAGCATGTCCAGGGAGACCTCCGGCTGGTCGGACGGCACCATGTGCCCCCCGTCGACGACCTGCAAAAAGGTCAGCCCGTTGCTGGTCCGGGCCATCCCGGCCCCGCTGCCCCAGTCGTGGGACCCGGCGGAAGCAAAGTCCTCCTTGTGGGACCAGTTCAGGTCCTTCGTCCAGGCCTCGTTGCCCAGGTAGTTGCAGATAAAGTCGACGTCGCCGGCGTAGATGAGCGCCGGAAAGCCGGCCTCCAGCAGGTCGGCGACGTAGCCGGAAAAGTCCTTCATCCAGTCGGTCCGGAACTTGGCGTTGATCCCAAAGTTGCAGGCCTCCCACCGGTGGCTGTGGGTCTCGTCCACTCCCAGGGCCTTCTTGGTCGATTCGAGGTTGAGCCAGGTCTGGACGTTCGAAAAGTCGTAGCAGAGCGGGGGGACCTCGCACTTTTTGCGAATGTCGTAGGGGTTGAGGCCCGTGGCCTGGTAGGGCGAGGTGAGGCCGAGGTTGCAGGTCACAAAGGCCGCCTGGCAGGCAAAGGAGTCGATGGTGTTGTCCCCTTGGTTGCACTGGTGGATGAGCTTTGTGCAGGGCGAGACCGCCTCCTTCATTGCGTTGTAGACGCCCTCGTCGACGACCTTGATGCCGTGGGAGTTGTTCCAGACCATCTCGGGGTACCACGGGTACTGCTCCTCGGGGGCCGTAAGGCCGTTTCCGATGGCCAGGCCGGAAAAGTTGAGGGGGACGCAGTTGTCGCACAGGTCCTGGTTGCCCTTCCAGATGCGGTGCGAAATGGCGGGGACGTAGTGTCCCCCGTAGGATTCCCCGATGATGTAGAGGGGGTTCTTCGCGTACTCGGGGTGCTCCTGGACAAAGGCCTGGAAGAAGTAGTAGGCGTCCTCTCCCACCATTTCTTCGCCGCTGTCGTTCTCGTCTCCGTAGGAAAAGCCGACGCCCGCCGGCTGGTCCAGCCACAGAACGTGCGCGGCCTCGGTCCAGCTGTGGGGGTTGACGGTGGTGCCCTTGCCGTCGGCATTGACGCTGCAGGGTCCGTTTTCGGTGAGGAGGGCCAGGGTGCTCGAGCAACCCGGTCCGCCGGTCAGCCAGACGACGAGGGGGATCTCTTCGTCCTTGACCGTTTCCGTACCAGAAGTGTCCCCACGCTTTTCGAACATCCAGAAAAAGAGGTGCTTGTCCCCGCTCTGGTCGTACTGTCGTGTCAGCGGCCATGGTTTGGTGCGTTTTGGAATGTTGTGGTAAACAAGTTCGTAGGCAGGCCATTGGACATTGATCAAAGTGTCGTCGTCGTCAGATGGATTTCGCAGAACGAGCATGCAACACACAATAAGTTCACAAAGCGGTTTTCAGTTCAAAATCAGAGGTTGGTTAGCAAAATACTCCAGAGTCCCGGTGCTGGTTTCCCATTCGTCACACAATTATTATTGTTTCCCGAGAAGCTTCTCACGCAACGAGACGGTATGCGTAATTTTAATCGAGGGATATGCCTTACGCACCTTGGATCCCTTCAGGTCCATGTACCCGCTAATGGATTTGCTCGAGGCGTCGCAAAAATCAGCGCCTTCCTCCGAACCCTTCTCCAGGACGGTTTCTCTCAGCTGGTGGACGGTGCCGCTCTCCAGCCCAAAGTCGTAGACCCTGTTGCCGTTCGAATTGCTCGGGGAAGAGGAGGTGCCGCAGTCAAAGACGCCGGGCGGGAGGCCCTCGGATTCCTCCTTGCTGACACACACGGGGGGAACGGCCGCACACTTGCACCACACGCACGGGGTGTCGGTGCCGGTTGCCATGGTGGAACCGCATTCGGCCTCGGATTTTATGTCGAGGCAGTTCGATTTTTGGACTCCGTCGCTGGCAGCAGTGGAGGTAGTGGCGCGGAGGCCGTCCTTTGCCGCCGCGAGTGATGCGAGACCGAGCAGGGTTGCTGCTGTAAACTTCATGGTTTTGGTAGTTGGGTTGGGATTGGGGTTCGTGGTTGGATTTGGTTTGGTTTGGGTTTCTTCGAGGATGGTGATGGTGTCGAACAACCCAAGGAAATTATGGGACGGATGACCGAACAAAAAAAATCGTACCAGTACATACCGTACCGTACCTGCCATACTCGTGCTCCATTGTTCGGTGGAAGATCTCGATCGTGGATAACATCATCGTTGGGAGCCAGGCCGTGTCACCGTAAAAAACCCTCGTACGGAACCGGTACGGTGCTACCTCCTACGTTCTCTCACTACCTATCACCGTAAAAAACCCTCGTACGGAACCGGTACGGTGCTACCTCCTACGTTCTCTCACTACCTACTGGTAGGTGTGTTTTTGTCTTGCCCAAAGAATTTCAACGAATTATTTCCATGAATTGCGATGATTACGGGAGAGTTTTTCAAAGAAGGGAACCGTTGGATTTTACGGGTTCTACCGGAGGATGTTGTGTACCATACCTGACGGTACGATAGTAATGTGTACGTACGTACGTACGTACGGTAGCAATAGAGGGTTTGGGGTTTTGGAGACTTCCAGTCACACTCGTTCCAAGACTCAACGGGCTGAAGTAGTGCCTTGCATTTGACACGCGGAGGACTCCTCCGACTGCAAATCCAACACGCACGAACGGAGTGCAAACAAGAATTGCCAATAACTTGCGTGAAATCGGCTCGAAAAAACGTCGTGCAACTATCATCTTCTTATCCCCAGTAATTTACGGTACGGTACGTACGTGCGAGCATCCATACCGCACTGTCTCTTTTGAATTAATCTCTGTTGCGGTTCAGGCAGCAACCGACCGGGTTTGTTGACGACCCACCCTGCCCACGAGCACGAGTGTAAAGCGACAGAAAGACCCAACAAGGCAACCCGACAACGCGACGAACTCAACGGAGAGAAAAACCAAGATGGGGAACAACCGCCGGACAACTACGCACCATCTATACCGCGTGCTCTTCACAATACTCGTCGCCTGGTCGACAACGATTGCCCTTTGCGGGACCCACGCCCGTGCCGATAGCCTCGAGGACGAATACGTCCGGCAGGTCATCGAGGAGGACCAGCAGCACTACAACGACTACCACACCGGCGGCGACGACGACGACGAGCACGCGGCCCGACAGCAGCAGCAGCAGCAGCAGCGACAACACCAACACGACGAGGAGGACGCCTTTCGATCCCAGCGGCAGCGCATGCAAGAGGAACGGGAAGCCGCGGAGCGGGAAGCCGCCGACCGAATGGCCGCCGAGCGGGAGCGACAATTCGAGGCCGAGGTCCAACGCATGAACGAGGAACAGAGAAAACTGGCACGAAAACAGAAAAAGATCGACGGGAGGGTGGTGAAATCCGTCCTCCGGGCCTCGGGCAACAAGAACCTCTACGCGGTGCTGGGGATCCGGCATCGCTTTCCGGGCCTCAAGATCCCGGCCCGGGAGGTCGACCTCTTTGGGGCGCTCCGGTTCACCATTCCCGGAATCTCGCTCTTCTCGGGGGAGCTCTCGGAGAAACAAATCCGCAAGCAGTTCCGGAAGCGGGCGATGGAGGTCCACCCCGACAAGAACCGGGACGGCCGGGCCCAGGAGGCCTTTGTGGCGGTGGAGGAAGCGGCCGCGGTCCTCTCCGACCCACGCCAGCGAGAAGCGTACGACGCAGAGCGCGCCCGGCAGCAGAAGGAGCAGCTGGAACGCTACAAGGGGGCGGTCAAAACGGCGATGGCCTATGCCTGGGCCCTCACGCGGAGGACCGTCCAGGTGATACAAACCCTGCTGGGGCCCTTCTTCGTGCCCGTAGCGATCATACTGGCACTCATTATATAACACGTTACGCGACGCAATTTTGTTCATACCATTATAAGAACTCCGCAAGATGATATACTCACTATCACGGAACTTTATATTCAGTAGTATTTGGTTTAGAAAACAAAGCGAAACTAACCAAACCGCCCAAGGAACGCCATTATCCAGAAACAATGGTTTTGGGGATCGAAAACTGAAGACAACCATCCTTGCCAGAATGGAAACCAAATCCGCTGGCCTTGTGCCCGACCCTAAACCATCATAAGATTCGTAAATAGTAGCAGCAGCAGAGAAAGGAACAAAACAATACACGAGGCACAAAATGTTTAGCAAGATTATGTAGATTATCGCACGGGTCAAATGTATAAGTCCCTGTACTGTGTTGACAGAATCTTGGCAAGACTCTGTCGTATTAGAGTGACGCACACACTCAGCTCTGAGCGCCGAGGTTTTGTACAAACTGTGGTTGGTGACGCGTTACTTACCAGGGACATTGGACTCCCATGTTGTCGAGGGGGTAACAGTTGATGCCGACTTGACCGGCGTCGATCAGGGAAGCGATTCGGGTGGCCTTGTCCGTATCTTTGGTATACACCGAGCTGCCGAGGCCATACTCTGGAACAAAAAGAAGAGGAAGCGAAGGATTATCGGTCAGAGACAAAACCTACTGCGCATTTGTGAGCCGTTAAATCACTGCCAAAATCTTTACCTGTGTCGTTGGCCAGCCGCACGGCTTCTTCCTCCGTTCCATCGAATTTTGCGATCGCGACTACCGGCCCAAAAGTTTCTTTCGTGAATAGCTTCATGGTCTCGTCTACGTCCGCCAGGACCGTCACCGGATAGAAGGATCCACCTTTGTTGCTCTCGGTTTCCGGGATTTCGCTCTGGTGCAAGAGCTTTGCCCCCTTGGCAAGGGCGTCTTCCACCTGCTCGTGGACCTGGTCTTTTTGCATCTTCGACACCATGGGTCCCACATTATTTCCTGCGTCCATCCCGTTGCCGACCCTGTAGTCCATTGCAGCAACCCTGGCTAACTCCTGGAATTCGTCATAGACCGAATCCGCGACGTAAATCCGCTCGATCGAGCAACAGACTTGCCCAGTGTTCGACAGCGAATACATGACAGCATCCCTGGCTGCCTTTTCCAGATCCGCATCGGCGCAGACCACCATGGGATCCTTTCCACCCATTTCCAGTATGACTCGCTTGAGCTGCGGTGCGGCGGCCTCGAGGATTTTTTTCCCCGTGGCGGAACTCCCCGTCATGGCCACCAGATCGATTCCGGGATGGGCCACCAGTGCGGCCCCCACCGATCCCGAGCCCTGGGCGAGCTGGATGACACCTTCGGGCAGAATTTTTTGCATTGTTTTTACCATGAGGGCGCCCGTTTCCGGCACTACCTCGGATGGTTTCACAATAACAGTGTTCCCGCTGGCGAGGGACGGCAGGGCCAACAACATTATTTCACCGAGAGGGAAATTCCAAGGACTTGTGTCGCATCGATGTATTCGTGTAAAGTGCGAACCAAAGCATGACAATGATTAGCTTGGGGAGAACAAGAAAATGCATCCGAGTGCGGTGGTTGGGGTATATAACCGGCATTCTCGAAGCTCTCACCACCATTGGCTCGCAACATCGCTCGCAGCATACTTACCTCATGATTGCCACAACGCCATAAGGATGCCGAACTACTGTGCTTTTCCCATAGGCTTTGGGCTTGATGGCATCCAATAAAATGTCAAAGTATTCGTCCTGATCTTCAACCGCGTAATCCACTTCTTCTTTGGCCTCACCGATCGGTTTCCCCATTTCTTGGACGATCAGCTTGATCATTGGATCCGAGACAGCGGCCAATTCCTCGATGCATTCTTTCAGCAGACCCACGCGGACTTCCAAAGACTTCATGCGCCATGCCCTTTGCGATGCTCTTGCCGTTTCGATTATCCCTTCGAGTTCGTCGGGGCTTGTGCATTTTACACGGGAGATGATTTCCCCGGTAGCCGGGTTGGTGTTGACAAGGCAATTCTCGTTATCTATGACGACTCCTTGAACCATGTTTCTTCGGACAACGGAATTGTAACCACTGTTACGCGTGGATGTTTGGGTTCAAAAATAAAGACGAATCGATCACAAGGCGTCGTGAGAACAAGGCGAAATTGTATCCGCACAACAATGAATTCTTCTCGGCTGCAACAACAGCGTCGCTTTTCGTACCTTTTTATAGATGGGAAGGAGTTTCCATTTCTCGACGTTCTGAAGGAGTTGGGTACAGCGCGAGCTATCGAAGAAAATGCTTTGGTGCTTTTCTGTTGAGAAGCCAAGGCGAAGGCTAGTGCTTTGGCAGTCAGATACCTTTTCATTGTTATCCCAGAAGATGGCTTCCTCGATTCGACAACAGCGTCTTCCTCCCTTGCACTGACACCTTAGTAAACCATACGGTGTGGTACGTACTACCTTTCCGAAACTTACGGATTAGATTTTTGATTTTTCCTCTCGGTGTTTGCATCCGACCTCTACCGTACGGTTCGTACTGTCAGGGGTATCGTACCGGACCGCACCTGCGTGGTTCGTACGCTACAGCATCAGTACGAGGTACTTCGAAGTAAAAGAATCTTAAAAGGGACTGGACTGAGAGGAGTAAAATACATCAAGGGTAAAACTTAAAACTTACTAGTAAAACTCTAAAATAAAAAGAGACCAAAGGAGGGCCCCCTCGACGTTTTGTCGTTAGTTTCTTTTTATCGCCAGCCGGCTTGTGTAAGAAAACCATACCTTTTTCAATCCATCGCAGACTTTCTCAAGAAACATCATGGCGGGTCAAAACTATCCTTCAAGAATAATCATCTTTCATTTGTAACATACTCGACGAAAAATCTCTTGGGACAGCAAGCGGGACAACATGCCGACGTCGGAATTTACGGTGATGGGTAGATCCACCGAACCTATATCCAATAGAGGCTATAGCAATGGGGATATTGCATCAGCAACGAACAGCGTGACGGACCAGTTTCGGTTTATGCACGTTTCTGGTAACTGCGACAGCGCCCAAGTGGAGAACCTGGCCAGGAATTTTATGTCAACGCTTGGCATTACAAATTCTAATGACGAAAAATACGCCGAGCAATTGGCAGCTCTAACGAGCCAAGTAAGTCAGATGATGAACCGATCCGAACCGAGAGGCCGAGAACAAAATGTTCCGCAGAATCTGCGCTCGAGCGATGGCGGATTACCCTCTTCTTGGTCGTCTCCGCAGCCATCCCAGAAGCCCGCAACTACAAAACATTCACCTAAATTCCAAGCAACAAATAAGAACAGTCGAGGGAGATCTCCCAGACGCCATCAAAGTCGTAGCAAATCCCCCCTCTGCCGTGTAGTAGATGGCATGCGTTCGAAATCTCCTTTCCGTAAAGATAGAGAGCGAACGCGGTCCCCCATGCGTCAAACTAGTGGAGGAACTTCTTCCATGAACACAGGATCGGATATAGATGGTGAAGAATTCTTCGACACGCGCATGGATAGCAGTTATACCGTGAACTCTCCTACACCGAAAGCAGTGCCAAAATCAACAACTGCGAGTGAAAGCAAGACAGAGAGAGCATCGTCGACGCTCAAAACTACTAGCCGTCCTCCCCTTGTGTCCGTCATCATGACCGATGTTCCATCCAGCAATGTAAATGCTCCGACAGCATCACCGGCAGGACAGTCAACCTTCAAATTCGATAAGGAACACGACAAATTCCACATTGGTAGTTCTCCTCCGAAAAAGTTTGGCTCTCCCGGTAAGAAAGTCAGAAGTCCACAGCACCGATCGAAGACAAAAACACCATATTTAGCAACACAAGGAGAGAACCATAACGATGTTTCTCCATTATCAGATATGGGATCAGTGTCAGGCACAACACCATTCCATCCGAGTACCAAAAGCAAGCCGATATCAACCGGCGAACATCCCGCTGCACAAAACACGGAAAACGCCGCGCCATTCTTTTCACCGGTACCTGAATTTCATGCCCCCCATGCCTTTGTTGGAAATTCTGGAACAAGACGCATACCTAGTCCACACAATATTATGCAGAATGACCCTAGCCCAGAGGCTGCAAGTCGCCGCCAAACTGCCCCGCCCGGAATGGCATCGGCCGCAGCGGCTGCTTCTCAATCGTTGCGGAACAGCGCATCCATAAACCCCGGAACACCTCCTGATCAGCCACAAGGTGCCACTCGCGTTCCTAATACTGCTGATACTGCGGAAACGTTTATCAAGAAAAAGACGCGAAATACATCAACGCCTCCTATCGTCGAAGCTGCTGCAGGAGCGACTCAACAACACAATCTCTTCAATGTTGATCTTGGTAGCAACGCCAACCAAGCTAAGGGGAAGGGCAGACGGGGGAATACATTGCGAAAAGGCTTGAAGAAGGGTTCTGCATCCTTCACGACCACTAGAAGAACGAATGGTGTATTTGGTTTGGACGAAATAAAGGAGACGGGTACCGACGATACAGCACCCACAACAACTGAATCGCCGTCGAGCGGATCTGCAATGAGCATGGATACTTCGCCAATATTTTCGCCACCGCCAACAAATTTTGGAGCCGGAATCTCTGAAAATCCTGCCCAATTCAATATGGGCGTTGGTGGTTCGAATATTCGAACTCGATCGAAGAGAAAGGAAAATGGCGCTCGCCGGGCCCAATTCCATCGAAGTCAGTCAGAACATGTTATTCATGGCCCATCACGTTCATCTTTTGATGCAAACCACTTGTTGAAGCACCGCTCAGATATTTTAGATCTGAAAGAGCAAGGCAAGAAGCATTACTTAGCAAAAAACTACAGGGAATCAACTCGAGTGTACAGCCAGGCTATCCAAAGATACAAGGTTGACCTCTTCGCGCACGTTCCAAGTAAGGATCTCTTGGCCGTGTTACTATGGAACCGTGCAGCGTCATTGTTCATGGTCGGAGCATACGAAAGTTCTGCAACAGATGCTCGTATTGGAATCCATTATGTAACAGACCCTAGAAACTCGAATCCAGCTCTTATCTCTCCAGATGCAAATCCTGTACTCCGGCCTAAGCTATATTGCCGAATGGGTCGGTCCTACCTGAAACTTGGTAAAGTCGAGGACGCCAACAGAGCGTACGAGGAAGCAATCCAGAGCGCAACTGCAATTCAAGATTTTCACAGAAGACAGAACATCATTGGGCATTACGACGAATTGGAAAAAATCAAGACCGAGGCGACTTTGGAGCGATCAGAAATATCAAGACTTTCCATTATTCTCGAAAGGATTTCATCTTTATCGAAACGAAATGAAGCAGCGGAGGCGATTTCACTGATTAAGAAGGCACTAGTAACTGCAAATGGATCTAAGGACCTTCACATTTTAAAAGTCAAAATGTTAGCTGAATCGCAACGATGGCGTGAAGTTACCAGTCACTGCGAACGATTTGCGGCATCCAATACAAAGTTCGATGGTTGTCTCAATGACGATCTCTCCAGGCTCAATCCATTCCCCGGTGTTCCAGTTGCGAAATATTTGCATGCCGATTATTTTGGTGACACGAAAGACGATGAGATGAATGGTGCCGAATTGAAGCTTAAAAATGATGCCGCGCCAGAGGCGATGTTGAGACTTTATAAAGAGATGATGCCATACTACTTGAGAGCCCTTCGCTTGGAAGAACGATATTGCAACGCGGAAAAATGTCTTTCAAGATTAGACAAGTACTTGTCTGATAGAGCAGTGGTTGATGGGAACAAAGTATATGAAGATTACAAATGGCTTGATGACGAACGAATGAAGCACCGCGAAACCGAGACCAACAGAGGATTTGCTGATAATTTATTCGCGAATGCAAAGTACGAGGAAGCAGCTAAAATATATGATGTGTGTTTGCACTTAGATTCCGGTGAATCCACCTGCGCCGGTGGTCGTCTCCATGCCATTCTCCACTGTAATCGTGCTGCCTGTTTTATGGCATTGAAAAGATTTCGCGATGCAATGACCGAATGCACCGCTGCACTTAAAATATATCCCCGCTATCTTAAAGCGATTCTACGACGTGCTCGATGCTATAGCAGACTTGATCAAACTCGACAAGCCGAAAATGACTTCAAACTCTGGTTGAAAATCGTTGAACAATCGAAGAAAAATGGGAACACTGGTTTCCTTGGTGCAAACATTTTCCACGGTCCAGATACGATCAAAACGAGAGAGGTCGAAGAAATTCAAGCTGAACTTAATGATATGCTGAAGGCAAAAGCCCGTGAGGAAGAAGCCAAGGCCCGTGATGAGCGAGCGCGTAAGATGTTCAGAGAACGCAGTCAAAGATGGGATAGCGAGCGCTCCGACTTCACTTCCGGTAGCAACGGTAGTGGTAGAGCCAACTTCAGTAGAGAAAACTTCTACAGTAGCAGCTCTCGTAGATGGGACTCGTCCAGAGATCAGAAGAGTCGGTCAAAACCTAACGGCGAGAAACCCAAGAATAGCAACAAAAATCAAAATCGACACAATGGAAGAAACTTTAGGGACCACAAGAATTTTTACAGCATTTTGGGGCTCACGAACAGGTCGACAGAAGAGGAAGTAAGAAAGGCATACAAGAAAAAAGCTTTGAAGTGCCATCCTGACAAAAACCCCGACGATCCAAATGCAGCAGAAAATTTCCGTCGCGTCAAGGAAGCATATGAAACACTCAATGATCCTAGACTTCGTCGTCAATACGATGCCGGGCGTTAACTCTGAAGGTAAAAGAGTGAGAAAATGTTTTCTCACATCAACAGCAACACGACCTTGCACCCTCAAAAGAGTGAAATGAGTTTCAAATCACAAAACAAAAAAGTCGCTTGTGAAGCAGATGGATTGAGTAATATAGGGCTAATTCACCATCTAACTAACAGACAATTATCTGGTCTAAAAGCTACTTTACGATGAACAAAATCCCGAGGCAACAGAGTACTCATTGTATTTCGTTCGTATATAGTCGTGGCAGTTTACTTTTTAATTTGAGTTGTGCAGTGTTCAGAGTGTGGAAATGTCTGCCCTTGAGACTGCTTCGCACTTATTTATTTGTACAACGAATCATTCAAATCGCCCGGTAGCTCTACATCAGAAAGATACTGTGAAAACAATTCACTTGTTTTTTGCCATTCCTTTTTGGCTTTTGCCGCATCCTTTGCTTTTCCGGCAGCTTCGATCGCATCAAACGTCTTGGAGAGCTTCAAGAACGATTTCACGGCTGGTGTGTTGTCTGGTGGCTTTCCCGGTTTGGTGAAAGTGTTAGCCAGCAAAAGGCCGTCGCCACCCTCGTATTCGCCTTTCTTTTTTCCCGGCAAGCCCCTCAGGTCGGCGAGGGCGGCGTACGTGCGTCCGACCTCGTCGGGTTCTCGTCGCTGAAAGAGGATGAAAAAATTGACCCATTCCGGACCATCGGTTTCTCCCTTGTCTATAGCTTTTCCCAATGCCTTGAAATCTTTGACATCCGCGGCGACGCGTTCCTGGAATTTCTTTTTCTTTTCGGCCTTGGTAGCCGGAGAGTATCCGGCGGAAGCCGATGCCCCAGAACCGTCAAAGGCGAATGCTGGCTGGTTCGAACAACCTTCGTTGAGCAAAAGAGCGAATGCCACTGCTGCGGAGTTTCGAAAAAGATCTCTCCTAGAAGACACGCTGGCGTCAAACGAGTCGGTTTTCTCCTCCATGAAACCGCACGAGGATTCTTGAAACAAGGATATTGCTGAGCATGGCAATCTCGGTTGTTCCTGACGAACGTGGAATCCGTAGCATGGTTGCGACCATGCTGTCGCCAAAAGAAACAGGCCAACTKGAGAAGAGTTAAACAGCATCTGTTTGTACCTATGTGATGCTCCGAATCCAGAGGATTTCCAAATTGTGATTTGGGACAATCTTTGTCTACTAGCGAAAGTAAACAAGCATGAGTACTCTAACGTAGTGACGCTCTAGCTGTCAGTGTTGAATCTTGTGACGTAGGAACGGTAACTTGGTACCAGCAGGTAGCTAGCTTATGGCAGAGCTGGTACGAGGTACTGTTCCACATGAACCGATGTACTTGAGTACCTGTACTTCTAATTTGTATCCGATACGATCTTGTAGATTGTAGATAAAGGAAAAGATCTTTGTTCAACAAAGGGGGGAGATTTCGGAATTAAAAAATGTACCCCAATCAATACCGAACCCCGAATTATTTAATTCAATAGGATTTTGTTCCATCTCGTCTCAAATTTAGGGGCCCGTTCATCCACAGAAAAATTTTATCGTCATCTTCCAAGAAAAGTTCGTACGGTACAGCTCTAGCTAGTACTCGTACTCGTAGTAGATTTTCCTCTAAAATGAATTCGTGGAATGCCTTCGAGAGCGAGGATCGTGTCCAGAGGTTCTTGTTTGCTGCGCAGAAGCATTCCCACATCATCTACGACGTGCATACAGTGTTGTACGGTTCGCAAATCACCATAACTAGAAGTACTTCATAAACAAAACTTGCCAACATGTCGAACGAGAAGAAGCCACTAGTAGGTGTACTATCCATCCAGGGAGCCTTCGAAGAGCACCAAGCGTGCTTGGAGGCATCGGGATGCCGGACGAAACAGGTGAGCATCGAAAATTGATTTGTGTTGGGGCGGATCGTTTTCTCTGGCGAAACAGCTCACTCAATTGATCCCATGGAATGTGCTCCGGATTATTGGCTTTCCATTCTGCTTTTCGAAAACACACGGTCAAATAAAACACCATGATCTTGGCTAGATCCGGACTGTTGCAGATATGACAGAAGGAGGTGAAGCGCTGGACGGAATGGTCCTTCCGGGAGGAGAATCGACTGCTATGGGATTGATTGGAACAGCTACCAAAGAAAGCGGCGGTAAAAGTGTCTGGGATGCTCTAAGGGACTTTATCGAAGTTGATAAGAAGCCTACCTGGGGGACCTGTGCGGGAATGATCTTGTTGGCCGAACGATGCGTCGGAGCGAGCGCCGTCATTCAAGACGGCCAGGCACTGATTGGGGGTATGGACATTTTGGTGTGCCGGAACTACTTTGGATCACAAGTGAGCTCCTTCGAAATGGCAACTCCTCCTCCGCCGACAAGTGGCGGTGAGGATGGAGGCATGGCCTCTCCTTATCCCGGGGTATTTATTCGAGCTCCCGCCATTCTGTCGGCAGGGCAGGAAGTCACCGTCTTGGGCAAGGTAGTTGCCACACCCTGCCGCCAAGCTGCAGTGGTCTTGGAAGAGCTGGAACGAAAGATCGAAAAGGGAGAAACCGTCGTCCAGATGGGAGTCGTCGACGCCTTGGAACGAGATGGATCGCAACTTCGGCACCGGGAGGTTGTGAAAGCATCACCCTGTGAAACAGGAGAAGAGAAGAAAGAACTCGAGCAAGATGCATCTATCGAGCTTCCGGGTGCTGCCGATGGGAGCAACGCCCGCGAGGTTATTTGTGCCGTGCGAAAGAGCAATCTATTGTGTACTGCCTTTCACCCCGAATTGACAAACGATCATCGTTGGCATCAATACTTTGCACAGATGGTGAAGGAATCCGTTGCGTCAGCTTGAGTCGATTGCACCGCTCTAGTACTCGAACGATGAAGATTCAGTTGACAGTTGGACAAAATAGAAGAATAAAACTTCAGTTCGTGTCGCCATCGCGCATCGGTGAAAGATAGATCTCATCTCACACTTGACTCTTATTTACACGAAATTCCAATCATTAAATATTATTTTACAATAAAAAATCAAGTCCTCGACTATTAATCTACGTGCGGAATTCAAGTTTCCTCCACTGCAGATTGAAAAATTCAATAAATCAATACCACTGCCACCAACTGAAATTTCAATCACAAATTAACGAAATCTAATTTAACAATTTACAAGAACATTGTCACCACCATGATTCTAAACGTTTTGGTCACTAACCCGTTCAACCATTCGCTTGTACCAGTTCTCTTTCATCAGGGTGTCTTCAAGGGCACTATCTACGTCTTCCAACTGTAGATCGAAATGTATCGGATGGTTGAGAATGGAAAACATACTCAGACTGGTGAAGGGTTTATGACATGTGTCATTCAATTTTAGTAGGCCACTATCCTTGAGTCTCTCGATAACTCCTTTAAAGTCTTCCAGACTCAAGTCGTCCAAACACTCAGTTGCACAACTCACGTGTGCTTTCAGCTTTCCCAATTCGATCGGTTTCCCCTCATACTTCCTTGCTAGATGTACACCAGCACACAAAGTCATCTTCTCGATGCTAGTGAGGGATTGAATTGTGTCCTTAGTTTTTCGATTGGTTTCTCTGATTGCGAGCATGGCGTCCCGAATCATGACGATTGGTTTTGTATGAGTACTCTTCAGCTTTTCTTTCGATTGCTTGTCTTTGCAAGATATAATAGCCTTTTCCATCAAGGCAAAGTATTGGCGGGCGTCCCCGCTGCTATTGGCGACCTTCGCAGCAATAAATTCGTGTGCTTTCTTGTCAACAACCCGAAAGCCTATTTTAGTTTGCGACATTCGCACAAGATCGTCCTTTCGATAAGTTTCAAACACAATCTTGTGCAGACCCTGTTTGGAAATAGAATAAGAGATAATTTAAGAAACGACTTCGAAGTTGAAACAAGATACGATGCTAAGCGCAATTACTTACGATTTCAAACTCCTTGCTCAAACGCTTTGTCTTCACGTTGTACACTGAGTTCGAAATTGCGATAATGCTCAATACATTATTTTCACTGCGAGCCCAGGTCGATAATTGCTTCAAAAATGATTCTGTTCCCTTATGCCCAAGAAGCTGGTCAACTTCGTCAAGGATTAATATTTTTGCAGCATTTTTGTCGTTGTTGGACGAACGCTTCAACTGAGATGCTTTTATATTCATTTTCTTCATCAAATTTTTCATCCCTGCGTCATAAGTGAAATTCCGCATGGTAGGACAACTGATGTGAAACATTTCGGGGGCTTTTTCCCATTCATTTTTATTTTCAATCTGAGCCGCAATCGCTCTTTCGCAGGTTTTCATTGCCGTCATGGTCTTTCCTGTGCCGGGATTGCCACATAAGTACAAGAGTGGCGATTTTAAACATCCTGGTCCATCTCCCTTCCGGCCTTTCGACTTCAGTACGTGGTCTACGAAACTCCTGACACGTGCCATGGATTCTGAAAGTTTTCCGTAAGCAATGATTTCGTCCCTTGTTATATTATGAAGACAAGAGATGAGCTTCTGCTCGTTAGTAGAACCTTGAAGAGTTACTTCCTCAATAACAAGTTCTTCAGGTTGCTTCATTGAAGCAGCATCTTCTACATTGGTATGCTCTGAAACACCGACCAAATTCCCTGTCGATACTTCCCTGTTGCGAACGACTTCTGGCAGCTGGTCCTCTGCAGGTTTCTTCAGTGAGTCGTCGTCTCCTATAGCGGTGGTGCACTCTGGAGCGTCGACCATATTATTTGTCGATAACTCGTTGTTGCAAACCTGTTCATGTTGCTTTAGTGAGGCTGCTTCTAAAATAGAGGTGTCCACTGAAGTATCGACCAAATTCTCTGACGATACTGCCCTGTTACAATCCACTCCAGATCGGTGCTCAGCCAAAGAATCGATCATTTCGGAATCTTCGAAATCAACTTCGTTGGACACCACATCACTGTTCGCTTTGGCCTCAGCAGAATTTGCTTCCCTTTCCATATCCTCTCCCATGAGCTTTCTGGGGGACATAGACATATTTCTATCATCCTCTCCACTCAACCCTGGTCCACGACTGCATTCCTCAAGTGCTTCTTTGTTTGCGGGAGGGGTGTGTTCTCCGATCTCCATGGCATCCGATGTATCGCCATTTCTCTTGACGCAGTGATGAAAAATTTCATCACCATAGACTCCGTGATATTTACGAATGATATGGATCTCCAGAGCTGCCMGTTCCTGTATGCTTTCGAACATCTCAACCTGGCACGCATCGGAAAGCCCATATCTCCCCAAATGCTCCCAAAGCTCTTCTTCGGAAAAGCACTGGTTGTTGCCCTCACCGGGTGGTACGTAACCATCTTGTAGCATGCCTGATTTGTACTGGTAACCGATCCGTTGCAAGACCTTGATGTACTTTTTGTACTTTTGTTTCCCAGAGAGCTCAAGGTCGATGATGCTTGCGTCCATTCTTCCACCAGTTTTTTCGGTTGTATAAACGTGAAAGCGGACCCAGTACGCAATCAGTTCCAGTTCATCTTCTTCGAGGGGCGGATTCGTTTTGCAATCCCCGATGTACTCGACGCCATGGGCACACAAGTGCGCACGATAGCCCGACCGTTCTGTGAAATAGTCAGTTCCTTCTTTGGCGTCCACGTTCGTACGGGGGTCACCATTGGGCAGACAAAACAGCTCTTGCCTGCTTCCTTGCCCTGCGTCTCGTTCGTAAAAGACGTGCCCTAGTCGCGCCAGAAGTGGTTTGATGCTCATCCACGAAGAAACTGAGATTCGACCCTTGCTATCAATCACTGTTGGAGTTGGGATTAATGCTCTTCTTACAGCTTTAGTTTTCGTCTTTTTCTTACCTCTACGAATCCTAGGAGCTTCTATTGTAGCACCTGCAAAAGATTGCTGTGTTTGTTGCGAACCCGCTGTCTCGTTCCTCGCCATTTCGGTCGAGAATGGAATTGGTTCCTGGTTACTTGTCTTTTTGGCCTTAGTTTTCTTTTTCGGCCGGCCGTCGTCCTCAATGGAATTGGCTCGTTCATTGGCTTGTGTCAGCGTCTGAGGGACCGCGTCTTCATCCACATCCCGGTGGTTCGCATCCTTTTCCCCAGAGGTTTTCGAGGGATTTCCATCGCTCGCACGTCCAGGGAACGAGATCGAGGAGTTCCAATGGATTGGGGCTGTTCTTGTGCGTGGTCCAGCCTGGGGGAACACGATCGCAGTCGTCGTCGCCGGTAAACAGGATCCACGGAATTTTTTCGTCTTTGGACTGTAGCGCGGGAACTTGACTACCTGTCTGCTGCTTTTTGCGTCGTCCGCAGCTCTCTCGAGCGAAGATACAAAGGGAACAACCTCACTGGGGTTCTTCTTTTCATTGACATCGCTGTCCTCTTCTTCGTCGCTTTCTTCTTCTTCTTCGTTTAGACAGAACAAACGCTCCAGTTCCATCAGGGCGTTTTCTAGTACCGGGCCGGTTTCCGGTCCAAGCAGAGGAATCTGGTTCTTGGAATCTCGCAGATAGCTTCCGACTGTTTCGAAATTTTCCAACAGCCGTATAACCTTGTGTCCTCCTTCGACAACCGATCCGTGTTTCTTTGCCACTGTTTTCCAGTAACGGGAGCCGTCCTGGTGGGCTTTGTCATCGCCAGATGCAGAAAGAGACGCCGGATCTGTTTCCACGACATCGAACAAAGGCCTCCGGCAGATTTCCGGGGGACAGCAGCCGTTTGAATCCCCGAGGGGCAGGACTACCACCCGTTGAAGCTTTCCTTCCTTGCAGGCCCTCTTTCGGAGTTTTGACTGGATGTTTTTTTGGTTCGGGTAGAGCTGCTTGTGGCACAGCATGGCTTTCTCGACGCAAAAAAAGACTAGGCAAGGCCAGTTGCATACAACGCAGTTGCTTGTGGTAGCCGAGGGCTCCGCACTGGTGGGATCTTCTTCGCAAAGGACGAGCGGCACCAAGCACAGGAGTGAAGCAAGGTCCTCTTCTGCGTGTTCCTGTTGCTTGTGTTCCTGTTCGTGTTCCTGCTCGAGTTGCTGCTCGAGTTGCTGCTCGAGTTGCTGCTCGTGTTCCTGCTTGTGTTCCTGCTCGATTTGCCGTTGTTGCTCAATTTCTTGCTGCTGCTGTTCTTCGTGTTGCTTCAGCTGCAAACGCTGCTGCGGATGCTGCTGCTTCGCGAACTTTGATATTKTCGTCGTCTTTGGTTGTTCGGGGGTAGCTTTCGTATTTTTCGAAGGAGGGCTGATTGTGCATCGAATCTTCGGTGAGACGTGGTTCCCGTGCCTGGTCCCGACAACCTGAGAGTCCCTCTTTCCTGGGGATCGCCCATCTGGAATGATTCCCCTTGTTCTCCCGGTAATTTTCGTCGCCGGGGGGAAGGAGATTCGTGACGTGGGTGGCGCTGACCGCACAGGAGATGATGGGTTGCTCACGCTCCTTCTCTTCGATGGGCTCCTGGTCTTGGTCCCAAAACGCGGCTGAAATTGCAAATTGTTGACCACCGGCTTGTGCCGCTGGCGTTCACGCTGCAATCGCTTGATGCGGTTTGATCTTTTGAACTTGACAGGGCGTGTTTTCTTCGCTGGGAAAGTGCATGCCGTTTGTTCTGAGCGGTCGTATTTCGGACGCTCCGACGGTCGTAAGAACGATTTTGGCGTCATGCTGCTGTTCTGTTCTGTTCTGTTCGCCTCACGTTGCCTATGTATGGATGCAGATGTACCGTATCTTTGACACTATCGAAAAATAGCAAGAATTGCGTCAAAATCGAAGGCGACGATACACCATCACACTGGTGTTCAATCGTACTCGTGCTTGTAACCTGCCTTTAGCATTAAGGTCGGATTAGAGAGATTTTTTTGCGGGTGCCACCGTTACGACTACGAACATACCTGTACGAATCTGCTCACAACGAAGTGTTACGTCGCATTGCGAAGGTGGGTACGAGTACTCGTACTCGTAGTATAATACAACCCGATTTCTAATTTTCGTCTAATGCAATAAAAATGCTACGCGCCATCCCGGCAAGTATATTCGCGCCATTTATCTTTGGACCACTATAAAGACTGAAATAGTCTCTAAATAATGAACGAAGATATTGTAGATCATGAAATACCACGAGTACCGGTACGTACAGGTACGTTACCAGTGCAGTGAGAACTAAGTACGTATCGGCCGGTACGGTACGTACGTACTATCTCTGTATGTTGCAAGAGAAGCGAAAGAATGAAATTCTTTGGTACCGTACTACGGCATTTACTTAATACTGGGTGATTCCCGTTATTATAGATGTGCTACTTTTTGGTCTGTCTGTCTATCAAAAGTAGCACATTTATTACAAAAATTTATTACATTT